TATGCTTGAATATTAAGCTACTCTTTTTACAAACAAAGATTTTGGGCCCTGTGTTACACTGTAACTGACTTTATATGTTGATAAAACAAACAAAGAAAACCAAATCTGTTGCTGCTGAGTCGGTTGTAATTCATAGAGACCCTATAGGACAGGGTAGAACTGCCCCATAGGATTTCCAAGGACCAGCTGGTGGATTCGAACTGCTGATCTTTTAGTTAGCAGCCTGAGCTCTTAACGATCTTGGCAATTCAATCAGCAATTTATAATTTATTCTAAATAGACTGGGAGCGATATGTATATTTTTATTGTAAATAGATTGGGAACACTTCACAATTCTAGGGCATTTCAGGTGAAATATGATTGAGTTGAACAGCTCTTGTTCACCATGTACACAAAATATGTATTTCTTTGTTAAAATCAATTACAATATTTTCAATATGTTCTACTTTTATTGTTAACCCTACATTTCAAATCAGACCTTTTAAGATACAGGTAAAGTTAACTTTGAAACCAAATAATTATAATACATTTTAATACATCTATAAGCTAAAACAAAGCTACCGTATGAATGACAGCATTAGAAAGAGAAAGCCTCTACCAATGGCGAACTCTCAGGCTTCTAGGCCATCTACTGGAGCAATGGCACCAGCTTTGGAAGAGCTGTGAAAGCATTCGAAAGCAGTGGCTTGCCCTATAAACACATCCAGCTAGTATTTATTTGAAAGCGTTAATAGTTATTTTCTTTCAGGGCATTTTTCATTAATATTTCATTTATTTAAACTGCTTTTGGAAAGGACAACAAAGTAGCCTAAATTAGAGGGTATTTTCAACAATTATTTCTTTAATAATCAATATTAAGTGCCATAAATTTATGGACCCTGAATGATAATTTAGACAAAAGTAATAAAAGGCATATACTAAGATGTGTGGCAGTGTTTAAATAGAGGTAAGAAAGAACATTAAACATCTACCTTATACTTTCCAACTTCTTACTGAAAACAACCATGAAAACATAATTCTAAGAGATTAAAGGGAAAAAAAGCAAACATATCTCTCAGAAGAAATTCTGATAAAAAAACATGCATCCCACTAATTTTTTAACCTACCAAAGGGAATGTTTCATTTCCATGGTACACCACATTGCTGATTCCCTCATCTCAGCTACAGGCATCCACACTGAAGCCCACCAATGATCAAACTCTGTAGCACTGCCTGTCGGACATTCCTTCTGTGTTCCTTAATAGCATGTTTAAAGCCCTCCTTTATTTTTAACCTGCCAAGGTAACCTCCCCTCAAGTCACTCTTCTTTTCTCAGCACTCCCTTGATACGAATGTTCACTCATTCTTGAAGGTTTTCAAAAATAATCTTTAATCTTTCAGAGTTTACGTCCACTGCATACTCTCATGGTCCTGGATACACGTTCTTGTTAGTTGCCATAGAGTTGATTCCGACTCATAGTGACTCCATGTGACAGAACAGAACTGCCTCATAGAGTTTTCTTTGCTGTAATCTTTACAGGAGCAGATCGCCAGGTCTTTCATACAGAATATAATAAGCTACAGTAAATATTGGTGAAGTAAGAGGCTACATAAAAGAACTAAGATGTTTAAGCAGAACTGTCCAATTCAATTTTTTGTGATGACAAACATAGTCTATATCTGTGCTGCTAATATGGTAGCCACTAGCCACATGTGGCTATTGAGTACTTGAAATGTTGCTAGGGTAACTGAGAAACTAAATTTTTTATTTCATTTAATTTTAGTAAATTAAAATTTGTAAAGCCACCAGTGGCTAGTGGCTACTGTACTGAACAGCACAGAAAATAAAACACAGAAAGCTACCTGCCATTACTTACTTCCCTGGCATCATTATCAAAAAGAGAGAGAGGAGAAAGAAAGAAAAGAAAAAAGAAATACAAGAATGTAGGTCACCTAGTAAAACCTTTACTTCTCTTGTCCATTTCAGAAATTATCACAGTTAATACTACTGTAACTCTGTATAGATTGTTAATTCTCAAACTTTTTCAACCTATAACTAATTTTTAAAAATGTTTACATCTCAGTCCTGTCTTATCTAAAATTCCAAAACGTATCATGGGAATAAAAATAAATTAAAACATATTATTAATAGGAAAAAGGAGTAAAATAAATATGTACTTATTAACATATGCATTAAAAATTGGACCTTCCCCCAGAGCCCACAGAGGGGGAAAGACTTCCCCTAGAGCTTGGCTTCTAGCCTCTTAAACTGTGAGAAAATAAATTTGTTTGTTAAAGCCACCCACTTGTGGTATCTCTGTTATAACAGCACAAAGAAACCAAGGCATAAGGCAACTGTGTCTTTTACTCAAAACACTCACAAAGAACATTGGATAATCAATACATCTCATTATCAAAAAGAACAACTTTGTGATCTTCAAAAAATCTTCATAAAACAAGGTAAATAATTTGGTATGTAATGCACTAGTTTTCATATAATTCACTATCTTGATAGTAAAAGGTTGACATGTTCATAATTGCTAGGCAGAGTTTCGAAAGTTGATGGATGACTCCAAAAATATTACCCATCCTGGGGGAAAAAACAGCTAACTTTTTGTTGTTCCTGTTGTTGCCTTGATTTTTGATTTAAATAAATAAATTCTGATCCCAAACCAGCATCACTGGAGAACCATCATTGCTCAGTTCACTCAATTCTTTTTCAAGCCTGTTCATGAATTTTAAAGGATTTTAACTCTGATTTACTCAGTGATATCACAGGTCTAACAATGACCTCAAAAGCTTACAAAAATTAGAATTTCCTCTTTCTTAAAATGTAGTCACATACTGTACATAAACAAGAATATACGAAAAACTGACTTTATCAGCAGACACATCATAACTAATGGCAAAAAAAAAAAGATTTGATCATTTCCGTAACTTGAAACTTTACCTCCCCAGCTAAGTCATTCCTCTGTTTGGAGCACTGGACAAAGAAACATTCTACAGTCTCTTCTCACTTTTCTTTCTTTCAAATGAAAGAGACATATAGTATCATTTCTCAGTTTTTTTAAGTAACATCACAATAAATAATCCTATCCATTGTAAAATGAATACCTTCATACTTAACTTAAAACCCTTTAATTTTCTTTCCTTTTGCTGTCATATTCATCTACTCAAAACGTGATGGAGAAAAGGGAAAAAAGACAACTTCTAACTATGTTGAAAAACAATAAATGATATTTCCAATGGCCAGTGGCTGCCAGATAAACTCAGAAATGAATGTGAGCTGTCTCCCCATTCTGTCCCAAAATACGCCCTTCCTATATTTAAACTCCACAGAAACTGAGCCTGGATCTGCTTTGCTATTTACTCAAGCCACACACCTAAGATAGTACTTGGAAAATAGCAAGTGCTGAATAAATATTTTTGGAATGACTACATTTTACAGGTACAAATTAAATTGGAAATCAAAGCTTTTCACGTATAACTGGCAAATAAGTAATTAAATGCATGCCACGGTCCAATCTTAATTTCTAACAACAGCCAGGGTAAGACTTAAGAAGGCTAAAATTAAAACTTCAAGACTGTTCATTCAACACATCTTTGCTGAGTGCTTTCTATGAGCTAAGCACTGTGTCTGTTAAACAGAGGCAAATAAGGCATATGAAATCCCTAGTGTCATGCCTACTACTACTTTATAGTCTAGAAAACAGACTGGAAGTGGCAAAATATTTAAAAAATTCAATTAAAATATACCAGAATCTTTGTTTACTCTTCATATTCCTTAGTTAAACCTCACTCATTTTCATGTCTCAGTAGATAGAAACTTTAAAAAAAATACTTGTACTATCAAGGATGTTTTCATACTATAGCCAAATTTGAAAAACATCCAAAAAAATTATTAATCTGAGAGATGTCAAAGAGATCATTTTACATAACACTAACCTTTGATTATAGCATGCCACTCTAACCCTCAGAATATATATACATACACATGTATACATATTATTAAGCATAAATATTTATTTATTTTTCAATAAGAAGCCAAAACTGATCTACCTTAGTCTCTTATACTTCCAAAATACTCTGATTCTATTATTGGTCGAACATTTCATAACAACTTCTAGACTGAATTTTTTCAAGAATACTCTGGTTTCGCTACTTCCCTCATTCAGGATTAGCATATAGCCTCTGAATAGATTAAAATTCATTCAGGTACTACAATTAACATGCATGATATACTTCAGGCATATCTTGCTGGGATTTTTTAATGTCTGTCTCCTACCATCCAATAATCTGACAAGTTTAAATGTGCTCAGTTTATCAAAATACATTTACACTAATTTTTAAATTTCTTACATAATTATTTCTCAGAAGCACCAAAATTTTAATCCTATCCCAAAACCCTGAAAACTGATTTAGAGAAACATTCATTGGTAGTGTTGTCAGATAAATTATAGGATGCTCAGTTAAATTTATATTTCAGATAAACAAAAATAATATTTTAGTATATCTGGAATTCAAATTTTCCTGGGCACCCTATACTTTTATTTTCCAAGACTGGCAACACTAATCTATGGGCTCCTACAAAGGTATCATTTCCAAAAATTAATCAATGGCACTTCTTGCTGTGTCAAGCAAGAATCAGCAATAATATATACAATTCCAAAATTCACAGTGAAACTTGACCACATTAAATTGATAGTGTGTGATCATGACTGCTCTCTTTTAAAAAATATCTTAAGTTTTTCAAAGTTCTAAGAAAAAAATAAAAGAATGAGTTTTTTAAAAGTCTATGAGCTATGACCACTTAGGAATAAATTTTAAAAAATTACTATTGAGACTATATTTCTTCATGCATATAAATATTATGTATTCAACTTTTACCTTGAGAAGTTGTTGAGGTATACCAGTGCTTTACTTAAAGGTGTCATGAAGGAAGTAGTAAATAAAAATGACAGATTGATGACATCTGTTAAATTCAGTAACATGCCCTAATGGTGTTCAGATAGGTGAATTACCTGACAGGGTTACTGGTCAAAGATACACGGAGGGACTCCAAGCATGTGACAAGTTTCTCATCTGCAGATGCCATTTTCAGTTCATGGATGAATTCCTGAGGGGCGATCTGTCGGCTACTCTTAAGACTTCCCTATAAAATAAGTCAAAAAAATTTGTATTAATTTATGAAAAGTGAAGATAATTCATCAAAATAATAGTTAAATTAATCTCACCTTTCCTGTTTAAATGCTGTACATAATTACCACAAGTAATATTATTTTGGGAGGATGATTTCCTTCCTCATGCGTATATAAATCTATCAATTCATAACCCATGGTATCCACAAAAGACAGCAACGTAACATCAAAAAGTCTGCAAATTGAAATAATTGTTTCGGCAAATCCAAAATGTCATGGAGAACAATTAAGTGTGTATCATAGGAAATGAGTCTTAAAATACAGTAATATATTTTAGGCATCTACAAGTAGAAAATCAAAACTCTAGACAAGAAAAACCCTCTTAAAATTAGTACTCCAAGCAACATAGAAAAGGCTATAATTCATTCAACTAATATTAAGCACCCAGTTCTAGACACTGTGGACACAGAGATTAACAAAACTAAATCTGGAAGGAGAGACACAAGCAAGGAAATAATTTCCAGTACAGTCTAATTTCTATAATATGGTTGCAAGGGGACCCAAACGAGGAAAACCACACTTGGCAAAGCAGATCAGGGAAGCCTAAATAACAAGTAAAAGGCGAGTAAGAGTCAAAGAAGCAAAGAATTAGAAAGGAGTATCTTCCAGACCAAAACATAATACACACGCACACACAAAAAGAACAACAAAAACACAACTAAAAAAGGTATGTAAAAGTGTAGTGTGTGTGTGAGTGTTTTGGGTACTTCGGGAGTGCAGAGACACACACAGAGGCCAGGTGATGAAGTGAGAGAAAACCACTATAGGATTAGTTTTCCCTTGGGAGTTTTGGAAGGATGACACAGAACAGCAGTGGGTTGGTGGGGGAGGGGGAGTACTTCAAAATGACTACCGTTAATTTGACATTTCTATTTAAGGTATTTTCCTCATACACAGATAGATACATAATATTCTATAGATATTCAGACTTAAATATACTTTACTTACAAAAATATGATATGATATATATTGCTCTATAGATTGCTTCTATCTGAAAGCAATGTGAAATATGGATTAGGAGAACAAACATTAAGTGCCTATCAAGTGACAAGCACAGTTTCTAACTTCAGAGAATACAGCAGTGAACAAGAGATAAAAGTCCCTTACCACTTAGAGCTTTATTCTATAAATGAAATAAATGAGTGAAATATATTGCATTGTAGACAGAGGGAAGTGCTCTAGATAAAAATAAAAGCAGAGAAGGGGAATAAGGAGCATGGTGAGAAGGATGTAATTTTAAATAAGGTGAACAAAGAAAGCCTCACAGAGAAAAATTTGAAGGCCTAGACCTTGAGTATCTGAATAAATGTCTGAAGGAGCTGAAGGAACTAACCAAGTAGATATCTGGGAAAAAAAAGTCGTGAAGGAGGGGACTGCAGGCTTTACAGACTACTGAAAGAACTGTGACTTTTTTCTGAGATCAGAAGCAGAGAGACCTGTGGAGGAGATACAGATTTAGTATAGCTGGGAATTGATGAGGATATTGAACTAACAATGAAGAAAAAGTCCAAAACTACATCTATTTAAATTACAAATTATACATTTAAGGTCAAGCAAAGGAAATATGCATGAATAAAACAAAAGCAGATTAGCTGGGTCAGCATAAAATTAGGTGTATTGTTTTCATTTCTTTTAATTTTTATTAATTTGCTGTAATGTAGTTGAAGAAAACATTTCCAATAATGCAAAACAAATTAGCACTGGGATGGCAGGCCATTTTCATGCACATCAATAGCGAAGTGGTAATTTACTAAAGAAAAATCCACTGGCACAATCTCAAAAGAGAATTAAAAATGACACAGAAGATATAGTTGAAAGGGGACATGGTGAGAGCAGTGAAAATGAACATTCAATTTTTATATCAGTGACTATGTTAAGTATAATTAAAAAGAGAACATACTCAACTTGCACTGGCATGTCATTTATCAATGTCCTTTTTTTTGCTTTAAATTACCAAAATATTACTTGTTCAACACTGAAAATTTTGAAAACAGGAAAAAGTAAGCATCTCAAAATGACTACCACTAATTTGATACTTCTATTTAAAGTACTTTTCTCATATGTAGATATGTACATAGTATTCTGTATATATCTATACTTAAATGCATATACTTTATTTATAAAAATATGATACACATTGCTCTTTAGGCTACTTTTATCATTGAGCAGTATTTCAAGAACATATTCCAATATCAATAAATAAGTCTTAAAGAATATGACTTTTTCCTGGTTACAGAGTAATTAACCTATCATTACCTATCTAACTATTCCCCTACTCTTGGGCATGTATGCCACTTACAATTCCTTCCTATCATAAATTTTTCAAGTTTCCTGTACATGATGTCAGGGCAATATTTTTATGCAAACAACATCAGTGGAGGTTAAGCAACATGATCTCTTTAGCCCTTTTAAATTTATTATTAAAGTAATTATGATTTTTGGTAAGATCAAAATAAACCACAACTGAATAAATGGATCGTTTGCTTCAACAACACATGGGTAAGCCCTATGTAGTAGATACTTTTTTAAATATAAGAATAATAAGTAATAAATCCATTTGGGTAGAAATAAAAGTGGTATTAAAAGATAAAAAAATCAGAAGTCACCTGCCCCACCTCTTGGCTCTGCCTCAAAGGCAATCATTTTTAATTCTCTTTACTCCTTCTTCTGATAATTATTCATAACATGCTTCTTCTGATATTACTTTAGTTTGTAAATTTTCAATATTACTTTTAACTTCTATTATGAAAGACATAGATTAAATTATAAATTAAATCTTAAACCATTGGAACCTCTACTCTTCCATCTTCTAAATACAATTGTAAGTAAACTCAACTGAACTAAAAGATGTCATTTCATGAAAAGAGAACTAACTGTACCTATTCTCTACGGGATCCTTACAGCAAAAGTCCTAAAGAGTTAAGTTCAGGCATACAGAAATCTTGATAACTCTTTAGTTCTTTTAATGACACTGAGTATGGGCATTACATATTCTCATTCATAATATCTTCCAGTTACTATAATTCCCTTGTCAGTCAAACTGACTGCTTTCCCCCCTTAAATTGGAAACAAGAGAAGGACATCAGCTCTTACTATTTCTATCTAATATTGTACTGGAGGTCTTAGTACAATAGGCAATAATAATAATAGACATACAGATTAGAAAGGAAAAAATAAAATTGTCTCTATTATAGTGGTTAAGAGCTACGGCTGCTAACCAAAAGGTCAGCAGTTTGAATCCACCAGGCACTCCTTGGAAACCCTGTGGGGCAGTTCTACTCTGTCCTATAGGGTCACTATGAGTAGGAATCATCTTGACAGCAGTGGGTTTGGGGTTTTTGGGCTATCAGCAAATAACATGATTATCTACATGAAAAACACTAAAAATCTATTTTTAAAAAGTGCTAGAATTAATACGTGAATTTAGCAAAGTCACAAAATAAAAGCTCAATATACAAAAATCAATTGTATTTATAAATACTACCTACAGTTGCATTAAAAAAAGGAACAAAAACCAAATAATTAGGAAAAGTTTTAACAAAAAAAGGGAAAGACCTACACACTGAAACTAAAGAACTAAATAAAGATGTTATACCATGTTCATGGATCAGAAGACTCAGAAATCTATTAAGAAGTCTGTTTTTCCCATATTGATCTGTAGATTCAATATAATCACTATCAAAATCCAGCAGCTTTTTTGCAGAAATTGACAAACAGGTTGTAAAATTTATATGGAAATGCAAGAGACTTAAAACGGTCAAAACAATTTTGAAGAAGAACAAGTTTGGGGGTTGCTTACTGTATCTGATTGCAAGACTTACTATACAGAGCTACAGTAATCAAATTAGGAGGCTACTAGCATAAAAAAGACATGCAGATTAATTAAACAGAATAGATAGTCCAGAAGTACACTCACACCTATCTGGTCAATTGTTTTCAACAAAGAAACCATTGTAATTCAATGAGTAAGGAGAGTCTCTTCAACTAATTGTGCTGGAATAACTGGACATCAGTATGAAAGAAAATGAACCTAGATCCTAGACCTAAATGTAAAAGGCAAAAGCCAAATAAAATGTCTAGAAGAAAATGTAGGTGAAAATTATTGCTAACTTGGAGAAGGCAAGGATTTCTTAGGACACAAAAATAACTATAAAATTTCAATATTAATAAATTGGACTTCATTAAAATTTAAACCTTCCACTTATCAAAAGACTCTTTAATTGGGGTGGGAATGTAAAATGGTACAACTACTTGGAAATCAATTTGGTGCTGCCTTAAAAAGCTAGAAATAGAAGTACCATACGATCCAGCAATCCTGCTCCTTGGAATATATCCTAGAGAAATAAGAGCCGTCACACAAATAGGTATATGCACACCCATGTTCACTGCAGCACTGTTCACAATAGCAAAAAGATGGAAACAACCTAGGTGGCCATCAATGGACAAATGGATAAATTATGTATATTTACACAAAGGAATACTACGCAACAATAAGTAACAACCATGAATCTGAGAAACATAACATGGATGAATCTGGAAGGCATCATGCTGAGGGAAATTAGTCAGTCACAAAAGGACAAATATTGTATGCGACCACTATTACAAGACTTCTAGAAATGGTTTAAACACAGAAGAAAACATTCTTTGATGGTTAGGAGGGTGGGGAAGGAGGGACATGGGTATTCACTAACTAGATAGTAGATAAGAATTATCTTAGGTGAAGGGAAGGACAACACACAAGACAGGGGAAGTCAGCACAACTGGACTAAACCAAAGCTAAGAAGTTTCCTGAATACAACGAAACAGTCCTAGGGACAGAGCACCGGGGGGAGGGGGGCCTGGGGACTATGGTTTCAGGGGACATCTAGGTCAATCGGCATAACAAAGTTTATTAATAAAAGGTTCTGCATCCCACTTTTGTGAGTGGCGTCTGAGGTCTTAAAAGCTAGCATGT